TGCTCGCCAGGCGCTCCGCGGGGGCCGGGTCGCTCAGAAGCGGTGGAAGCGCCCTCCTCCCGGGCCCTTCTCGCGCTCCTCCGTGCCCAGCGGAGCAGGTCAACCTGCGAGAGACGTGCTTCGTTCCACCCGGCCCACGGGACTTGCCAGCCTCCCGCGCCCCAAGCGGAACGGTCTCCGAAGGGGAGAGATGTTCCGCTGTGAGGAAGGAGCTAGACGCGCAGATGCGGGGGAACCTGGCCTGCTGCCAGCGCTTCATAAAAATAGGCCTGCGGGGCAACAGTAACATCCGTTTACTCTTCTTTACATCATGTCTGTTGCCACGTTTGGCTGAAAATCGCCGTAAACCAACATACCAGCCCTTCAAACGCCATCCTTTTAAGATCGGTCTGCATGTGCGCACGCACGCGTCAATCTTGTTCATCTGGTTTAGGCCACCAGTACTTCATGTTAACACATCAGAAGACCGTTAACCAGAACTGAACGAACCCTGTCCCTCTGAACACTGCAGAAGATGCACTGCATCCTGTTCCCTTCCTGCCGTTGCAGCATGCCTTGCTCGGCTAGACAGCATTCACCTCCTTAAGAATAAGGAAGTGGTGGAGAGGTTCCCGTGTGAAACGTGCAAACTAGGGTTAGCGTCAGAAGGGGAGGGCTCGTGGTTGATTTGCACAGGCAAAATTTTTACTTGTAACTTCGCTTCAGTACCAGGATGCTGCCACTGAAGGATGCAGCCTGCTAAGACAGGAGGCTACCACCTAACGATTGCAACAGTTTGCTTTGCTTTCTGCTTTTGCTAGCTCAGCCCTGTTTAGAGGCAAAGGATTACATTTAACTGGCTGCAGCTCCGTTTCGGTATCTCCACAACAGACGTGATAGTATTGTCAGTATTTATTCCAGATTCCTCCTATCGTAAATGGGTTCTTGCTTTGGCAACATGTAAAACAAAGGGAGCAAATGTAGTCAAATCTGCGGGGTTTCATGCTCCTGAGATGATCTTCCCGTTGCCATGGAAACTAATACAGGATCAGTTAGGAGGAAATACTCGGTGATTGTAGGTAGTATGGTGGGCGGTGTGTTTGGTGCAATGGTGCGGCATACATAAAAGGAGAGCATTTGTATTACAAAAAGGAGCAGCGAGGAATGGCAAGAATCTAATATCGGTGTTTAGCCAATACCCTTATTGGCCACGTAGCAGCACTTCATGGTCAGCAGTACGGGTAGGAAGGACATTTGTCAGTATGTAGGCTGACCTATATAGCTTGAGAACCTCCCCCAAATTAATTTAACTATGGCAGAAATCCACCCAACCTTGAATTCCTAGGATAGAAATAAATAAAGGTTACCAAAAATAAAACATGAACTTCCATGTAGGGAACCCAGTTCAGACTGGAATTCAGTCTGGAACCCCGCTAGGTTGAGCTGTACGATTACAAACTGAGGAAGACGGTCTAAGCTGAGCCATGTAGAGATCCCCCTTCAGTTTCTTATCTGTGGAATGAAGAGAATGACTCTCTCTTTACAGGGTGCTGGGAGTATGGATACGCTGAAAAGCGTAGACTGCTCAATACTGTGTTAATAGCAGTCATAAACCTCCGATATTTGCCCAAGGGTATTAAAATCTAAGCAGACGAAACAAAAGATGTATGTTATCCTTGGTTTTGAGTGAAGAATCCTAAGACTAATGAACTCTACTGAAATTTTGCAGGAAATGACCCCTGCAAAAATGATTTTCTTTTAATATCCTCCAGACCCTGGTGATAGCCCTCTACAGATAAAACAACTTCCCTTTGCATTGACATCACTGACATCTGCCTATTCAGCATGACTTTAACTCCTTCCTCATGCTCTAAAGCACTAATGCATATATCTTCAGTTCAAATTTTATTTATTACAACTCATTCTCAGGTACTTTGGACAAGCCATTTTGATGGGCCGCTGGTATGACACAGTAGTGCATTTCCTGTGGCTTACCTGCTTAAATGTCAGCCAATTGAATTATACATTTGTTTCCAAAGGCTGCTGCAAACTCCTGTTCCCTACAAAATCATTACCGTATTTACCGATGCCTGTCCTGACCTGTCGTCCTCCCCGCAGTGACTTTCACTCTCCCATTTTGGCCTCCTCTGTTTTATCGGAGACAGTTTTCCGGTTCCGCTGCATCTGCCTTTCTTAAGGGTTTGCCAGCTTTCACCGTTCTCTCATCTCTCTCTCAAAACTCCTAGGATAAACCACACGGTAATTCTGCGCTGTCTGTAGCTGTAGGTGATGCTCCATACCAACGCTTACTATCAATCAATCTCCAGTCCCCACTTAGCCTCAAACCATTTTAGTGTTCACTGCTACAGCACAGTAAGTAACGTACATCACAAGTTCCTAGCAGACTGCAGTGACACAGTAGATTCACACTGCAATTTTATGTGTAGCAAATAATACTAACCAGTGTAGATTCTATTATCTGGGTGAAGTGCACTACAGGGGAAGTTGTGCTTATGTATTTATTTTTTTATTTCTATAATGAAAATGTTAGAATCCTGTTCTTTACATCATCTGGGAAAATCAGATTATATTACCGTTTTGGTTTCTTGGGTTTTTTTTTTCTTTTTCCTTAATGAGCGTGTCACCAACAAGTACCCCTAACTTACACTGGGCCATAAGCAAAAGAATAAGCCACGGATCTGCATACTAACTTTACGTTTAAAGAGGAAGTATTAGCGTGGCCGCCTTCTTAACAAGAAAGAAACAGCTTTTAGTCTTGAGATAAATACTTGTATAAATATTTTCTTTAATTACAAATACAACGGTAACTAACAGTTCAATCTTCCCAGGTACCACCTTTGAAACAAATATACTAGTTCTATAACAACAGCATTGCCAACCTCCCTAGTTATTGTCTCTATATCAAATGCCCATTTCTGGAGAAGTGGACTTATTTTTCTAAAGCCTATGGGGTTTTTTACACCACATCCATTACCATAAGTGCATTAATGTCAGCATCACAGCGGCACCTTAAGACCAGACAGCATATGTGTGCACAGAAAAAGCGACAAACATACCTTGAGTTGCACTTGAATTACCTGGCTGCTTTCCGTATGCTTTCAAAAATAGAAGTTGCAGAATCCCAACTTCAGTTGAATACTTACAATTCATTCTTCGTGCATCACGCAAATTAATTTCAGCCCTGCAGCTATGGTGGCTTTGCAATGTGTCGGAACTTTAGAAAAACAGACATTCTTGCTAACTGTTTATAGTAGAGAAGTGTCCTTATTTTGTCTAGTACAAAACCAAAAAGTGACAGAGCTAGATAAATACTAATTAAGGGTCCAGTCCTGTCACCAGCTGGACATACGTGCTTATTTTTGCGGAATACCTGCATGCACGTGCACTGCATCTCAAGCTAGGTTAGCACACGTAGCTGAATATAGTGGGAAAAGATCATCTGGCTAAGAGGTGTCATTGTACACAATCACTTTGGAGAGTGCAGCTGCATAACATGGTGTCATACATCGAGATGCGTGAATTCCCACTTCAGTCACAATTTACAACGTCACCTTAGCATTTTTCCAATTTACCTTGAGTTATACTTCCGACTGAACCACAACAGGTGTGCTGTACTAGTAGATTCTGGTTTACATTTTTAAACTGCCAACTGCCACGCCTTAACTAACTACTGCTCCCTCTGAAATAAACATTGCAAAACCGTACATGACTTCCCTCCGTGACATCCTAAACTAAACGGTTTTCCAACCGCTTTACCCAAAAAGCACGCAAACCCGCTGCCCAAGAGTGCGTTTCCACAACCGGTGTCAACGGTCTGCGCCCGTGAGGAAGCTGTATTGCTACAATTCAGCCTCACCTTCGCGTGCTGTTTCTTTTCTCCACGGAACCGTTTAGAATAAGGAAAGCCGAAGACCTTCTCGTGGGGGTTACCAGCAGGAGCAAAACAGGGCTCTTTCCCAAGAGATGCAGAGGGGCTGCGGCGGCCGGCCCGCCCGCGGGGGAGGAGCGGGGTCGGGAGAACAATGGTGGCGGTCGCGGCGCCGCCA